TTTTTTTGTCTAAATCTACGAAAGTAATGCACCAATTATTATTATCGTAATTCATGACCTCAGGATAGATCCATTGTAAATCAGTTGAATTTTGCGCTGATCGTGTTTGTTAGAGTACAAACACTAAAAGTGTGCAACACTTTGCACTATTTAGTAGTAAATAGTGCTAATTAAACAATAGAAAACAATAGGATTAGCATAATTTAGCAGTATTTAGTGGTATTTATGTTGCACACTTATAGTGTTTGTATTCATATAACAAGTATATATCGGATTTATCGAGGAACTAATTCCGCCCACGTGAGGGAACTTTGATCAAAGTAAAGCGAAAAAAGGATGGATAAAACTAGCAAATATGTTTTAATTATCCAACCAATAAGATCATAATGTTTCATTGATACGTGGACATAGAGAACTGTAATAATTTAGACTGTAACCTGCAAAATGTCACTACTAGACTTGAACGGTAAGTATTAATTTAAATCATATTCGAAGTGGTGCACGAACGTAGGTGGTTTTTGAACAAATATCCATGCTTGGATCCTAAGTATCCTGTAATCTACGAGACCCATTAAATATAATCTTCCAAAGTTCTGCGAATAGACAGTCGAATCTCTTTGATAGCCTTCCTCGTATATCTATAAAAGAGAAGTAGATCGTTCGTGATCCTTCCACGATGGCTCAAAACATATATATTAGAGTCATCAGGAAACTGTCTTTATTTCGACGAATTAAAATGTTCCTGCCACTTCACGCTAGGAGGTTATTCTAATATACCTTGGTACTGCCTATTGTGACCTATAGTCTTGTGGACCGTGGTAACTCAACTCTGATGCAGAACCTTCAAGTCCTCCAGAATAAATTTGCGAAAAAGATCCTGGAACGTCCATATTACGGCTCAAGCATAAAAGCCTAGGGCATGCTCCATTGGAAGATGCTGGAACACAGACGCAAAATCCATCGCTGCATATCCTTACATAAATGCTAGAACAATAACATTGATTATGATTTTAATATCAAATTTAACAAAGACTATCGTATCTGTAACACAAGGTCAAATATTTGCAAGTTTAAGAGCAATCGTAAATGGGGCCAATATAGCATGTTCTCAAGAGCAGCTGACGACTGGAATAACGTTACCGAAAGGATTAGAAATTGATGGTTTTCACGGCGGCCATGTTGGAGTAACTTAACAAAAGAATTGTCAATGAATTCTTTTGTTATATCCTCCAACATGGCCGCCGTGTCTTTTGTTATTTTATTCTATTGGGAATAGTTGAAAACCATCAATATTAAGGAATTGGACCTATTCAAGAAAACTCTCTTTAAAGAAATTAATTAACTAGATGTTTTTTAGCATTATTGCTGTCATATTATAACTTAATACGGTATATATTATATTAGGGAATACTAGGAATTATGTATTTATTCATATATATTAATATCTATTTTATTTATATATTTTTTAATTCTTCCTGTTAGGACTAACTTTGAAAACCACTTTGTGATCTAGCCTTCCTCTTTAAAGATTAAATTTATTATTATAAAACGCAGCCAATTGCAAAATGAAGGTAAAGCTTTCAAAGCCAAAATTTGGCACATGCGCATATATAAATGCGGCGTAGGAAAAGCATCCTTAGTTTCACTAACCTTGGTGGGCATACGACGGAAAGCCGGAATCATTAGTGTGTAGGCGAGAACATATGCTAATATCCAATAAGTCACGCAAAAATCCCACAACTCAACCAAAAATCATCCATGTGCAAAGCGAACAAACTGGGTTCACAAGGCAAAGGAAAAAAATATCGTAAAGTAATGATGAGTGTTCTGACTAAATTACATCTAATGTGGGTAATTTTGATGTAATTAAACCTGCGGCTTCTCGTCTTACGGTTTTTTAATTCGAAAAGATTATACCTTGACATACATGGGCGAATAAGTAATGTCAATCGTAGTCCTGGAAAATGCAAAGTGATAGTCTTATAGGACTTTAATACACTCTCTCTGTTTCTTTTTTCTTTCCTTTTTTTTTTTTTT